ACTCCTTCCTCACATATTTTCCCAAATAGTTTACATAGTACTGTGATTAATTGTTCTTTAGATGTTTGGCAAATTTACTTGTGAATCCATCTGGCCCTGGTTCTCTCCCCAGCCCCACCCCAGCATTAGTTCACTGATGGCTTGTTCAATTTCTTTTTCTAAGACTGGGTTAATATTCCATTTCCTCTTCTGATAATCTGGGCAATTTATATTTTTATAGGTAGTCATCCATTTCATTTAGATTGTCAAATCCATTAGCATGTAATTGGGCAAAACAGCTCCTAATGATTGTTTTAATTTCTTATTAGTGGTGAATTCACCCCTTTCATTTTTGATAATAGTAATGTTTTAAATTAACCAATTTAACCAATTTAAATTAACCAATGATTTATCTTTTTTATTGTTACATTGTTTTTCTTTGTTCACAAAGCCAGATTCAAGTTTTATTATCTCAATGGTTTTTCTACTTTCAATTTTATTAATCTCTCCTTTGATTTTCAGGATTTTCAATTTGGTGTATAATTAAGGATTTTTAATTTGTTCTTTTTCTAGTTTGTTGTTTTTAGCTGTGTGCCCATTCCATTGATCTGCTCTTCCTCTGTTTTACTGATGTAAGCAATGAGAGATATAAATTTTCCCCTAAGTACTTCTTTGGCTGCATCCCACAAATTTTGGTATGTTGTCTCATTGCCATTCTGTTTTAGGAACTTACTGATTGTTTCTATAATTTGTTCTTTGCCTCACTTATCCTTTAGGATTTAGTTTCCAATTAATTTTCAATGTTCCCACTATCTGTTACTTAATGTAATTTTTATTGCATCATTATCTGAAAAGGATGCATTTAATATTTCTGCTTTCCTGTATTTAGTTGTGAGGTTTTTACGCCCTCATAAATGGTCAAATTTTGTGTAGGTGCCATATGCTGCTGAGAAAAAGGTATATTCCTTTCTAGTCCACTCATTTTTCTCCAGAGATCTATCATATATTACTTTTATAGAATTCTATTCACCCCATTAACTTTTTGTTTATTTTTTGGTTATTTATCTAGTTTTGAGAAGGGAAATAAATAAATAAAACTATAGTTTTATTGTCTATTTCCTCCTGTAACTCATTCACCTTCAAAAATTTAGATGCTATACCATTTGGCGCTTATGTTTAGTATTGCTATTACTTCATTGTCTACGATACCTTTCTGCAAGATGATAGTTTCATTATCTTTTAAAATTAAATCTGCTTTTGCTTTGTCTATGATCATGATTGTTACCTCTGCTTTTTTTTTTTAACTTCAGCTGAAGCATACATAATAGATTCTGCCTCTATCTGTGTCTCTCGGTTTCAAATGTATTTCTTGTAAACAGCATATTGTAGAATTCTGGCTTTTAATCCATTCTGCTATCTGCTTGTTTTATAGGTGAGTTCATCCCATTCACATTCACAGTTAGGATAACTGTGTATTTCCTTTCTTCCTATTTTCCCTTTGCTTATCCTTTTCTTTCTTTTACCATTCACCTTGTCCCTTCTCACACATGTTTTACTCCTGATCACCACCTCCCCCAATCCGCCCTTTCATCAGTCCCCACCTTTCTCTCATCCCTGTTTCTTTTTACTTCCCTATATGGGGTTGGATAGATTTCTGCATCCAACTCAGTGTTATTCCTCTCTGAGTCAATTCTGATGAGAGTAGGGTTCAAGCTTTGGCTGCCACCACCAGCCCATCCCCATCTTCCCCTCCACTATAATAGCTTTCATGCCTTTTTTTATGTGAAATAATCTACCCCATTCTATCTCCCCTCTCCTCTTCTCCCAGTGCAATCTTCTTTCTCACCTCTTCATTGTTTTTTTTTGGGGGGGGGGAGTATCATCCCATCAAAGTCACCTTATATCTGTACTTTCTATGTATACTTTTTTCTAATTGCCCTTAATAAAGTTCTTAAGAGTTACAAATATTATCATGTCATGTAGGAATAGAACCTTATTTCACCTTACTGAATTGTTTTCTCTTTCCTGTTTCTTTTTCACCTTTTTATGTTTCCCTTGAGTCTTGTATTTGAAGATCAAATTTTTTATTCAGTTCTGGTCTTTTAATTAGGAATGCTTGAAAGTCTTCTATTTTATTAAATATCCATTTTTCCCCCTTGAAGGATAGTTTTGCTGAGTCAGTGATTCTTTATTGTAATTCTGATTTCTTTCCCTTCTGGAATATCATATCTCAAGTCCTCCAGTTCTTTAATGTGGAAGCTGCTAAATCTTATGGAATCCTGACTGGCTCCACAATATCTGAATTCTTTCTGGTGCTTGCAGTATTTTCTCCTTGACCTGGGAGCTCTGGAATTTGGCTATGATGTTCCTGGGACTTTTCATTTTGGGATCTTTTTCAAGTAGTGACTGTTAGATTCTTTCAATTTCTATTTTGCCTTCTGGTTCTAGGACATCTGGGTAGTTTTCCTTGATAATTTCTTGAAATATGATGTCCAGGCTCTTTTTTTGATCATGGCTTTCATGTAGTCCAGTAATTCTTAAATTATCTTTCCTGGACCTACTTTCAAGGTCAGTTGTTTTTCCAATGAGAAATCTCACATTTTCCAATAGTTTTTTATTCTTTTGATTTTGTTTTATCATATCTTGATGTCTCATGGAGTTATTAGCTTCCATTTGCCCAATTCTAATTTTTAAGCAATGATTTTCTTCAGTGAGCTTTTGTACTTCCTTTTCCATTTGACCAATTCTATTTTTGAAGGAGTTATTTTCTTTGGTGAATTTCTGCATATCTTTTTCCATTTTTTGGTGTTTCTTTTACCAAGCTGTTGACTCTTTTTTCATGATTTTCTTGCATTACTCTCATTTCCTTCTCTGATTTTTCTTCTATTTCTCTAAATTGCTCTTTAAAACCCATTAAAGATCTTCCAGGAGCTCTTTCTAAGCCTGAGACCAAATTAGTTTCCTTTGAGGCTTCACATGTAGTCATTTTGACACTGTTGTCCCCTTCTATGTTTGTGCCTCAATCTTCCCTGTCACCATAATAACTTTCTATAGCTGTTTTTTTTGGTTTGTTTTTGCTTTTTTTTTTCTTCCTACTTTGTGCCTTTGTACTTTTCTGTGAGAGTTGGGCTCTGTTCCTGCACTGTCCTAAGCTTCTTGTGCTGGGCTTGGGGCCTTTCACTGGGCCTAAGGGCCTACCTGCTGGCTTTCAGTGGAGGGGGAGCCATCCCTGCGGGCTTATACCAGAGGGGTGGGGCCTCCCTTGGGTGTGGAGTTTTGCTGATGAGTAGTGAGGCCCTGCCCCAAGGAGCAGCCAGCAGTGAGACAATGCCCCTGGGACTGGCCAACAGCAATAGGAGCGAGGCCTTGCTAGTAGCCTACACTGGGGGTGGGGCCTTGCTATGTTGCTGGTCTAGGACTGCTGACTTGCAGGTGGATTGCCCAGGGGCTCTGAGCTTCTACTGTTCTCAGACTTTGCTCCTTCCCCTCCCCAGTGAGACAGACCTTTCCTGCTATGGTAGTAAGCTGCTTCCCTGTTCCTAAACTGGTTCTGAGGTATTTTCAAGTTGTTTGGAGGGGAATTCAGGAGGGATCCAGGGAGTTTCTTCCTCATCCCACCATCCTGGCACTGGAAGTTGCAAATTTTCATGTACACTTTTTGCTTAACGAATTTATTTTTTAATGAATTTATTTTATTCTGTTCCTGAATTAGGCAAAATGTTTAGACAACTCTTATCATTAGAAAATAAATATATTAATTTATTGCTATCTATTGACTTCAGTGTCCTTACTGCAGAAGGCATATGCTTAGAAAAAAAACATGAAAAACTAAGTCACATAAGTTCTTATTAATGACAGCCATAGTAGATAGAAATAGCTTTATTTTTTCCATTAAGTTTCATCAAATAGAGTGTTCAAAAAGCATTTATTTACAAAAGCAATAAATTCACAATATGTAGTTCTCATGTTACATTCACTGAAAATGAATATACTCAAGTTACTACCAAATAAAATAGCATTTTTCAATTATTACTATTCCTTTTTCATTTCAAGTTGATGACATTAGTTACTTTTAGTCACCTGGCAATTATAGTAATTTTCCTTCTTTATTTAGAGTAAAATAATCCACTGCTTAAAAATCAAACGTTAATGTTATTCAGACATTCTGAATAGCTCATTTAAGTCATATAGTCTACATTAAACATAATACATGCACTTGGTATTATCAAAATAATTTTTAAAATAGACTAAACAGTGTTGAAGACTTACTTACATTTATAATAATAATAATAATTCCTCACTTAAATAACTGAAACCAAGAAAAATATAGGCATCAGAACTTAACCTCAATGTTTTAGAGCATCAAAAACCCAAATAAACATTTTTTAAGATAGTGAAAAGCTGAGAAAGCTAAAATAAAATGAAAATGAAATGGTAGACATATCCTACAGCTCTGTTCCCATGACATGAAGGCATAAATTTATTCATAATCTGAAAGGGTCAGAAATACAGTTGTAGATTCAAAATTCTGAAACTAAATGCTATGATTTTTTTCAATGGTTCTTGTGATGCCCTTAAACTAATGACTACCAACATAAAACAACAGGTCAATTTCTTAACAGAAAGGCTTGCTAACCCCAAACCTCAGATACCGTTTTTTCTGGGTTCCTTTTCCCCAATATAACCCTTTTAATCTCAGCAAAATTTGGGGTAAAAGAGCAAAACTTTTACTTTTGAAAAAAAAAATGGTGTTCAGGTTAATCTTAAAGAGAAGACTGTATGAATATATCCTTTGGATAAGTGAACTCCAAATCCAATTTGTTTTGTAACTTCACTAAAACCATGCTACAGTGCTAGGCTCAGAAATCTGTAAGACTGGCCAATGTTAGAAATTATGTGTTCTGCCAGTAACGAATCCCCTTACAAAGAATGTTGCCTATATTGGATTTTGCGGTAGAGGGGACTTTTATTGCATGGTGCTAAAGAGTAACTTTTAGTCTTAAGTTTCATGGGTTCTTTCCAAATACTATATGATAAAGTATCATTATAAAGTAATGAGGTTTTTTTTTTTCTTTTAAACAAACAGGACTTACACATTTGCACAAAAGTTGTCATTCAAAGCAGACATCTTGGAAGTTCATTTCAATAATGCTGACACTGCTCAAACTATTTTTGGAACTTATCTTTAGGAACTTAAATTAAATTGGTTTATGTCTAAGCCATGCAAGAAATCAGTCTCATTACTTAATAATAGCCACATTTTATTTATGACCAAAATAACATATTAATACTTACCACTACTGTGGATAATCAAAACAATGTACCATAATCTGTGAAGCAAATTGTCTAAAGAAGACTCCTCAAATGCTTTTTGCAATGGAAGCATTATTGGAAGAAGTGTATGGCCTCCCAAAGTAGTGACCTTGAAGGGGGCAGCCTTCATTTGGATGCAAAAAAATTGCTCACATTACTTGATATTATTTGGGTCAAGTGAAAAGTGTTCTTAGTTACGACTTTTGAAGATCACGTCTTATACAAAAGTCTAAACCAAATGTACAGTATACTTCTCATATAAGATTTTTGACTGAGTTTCAAACTCCTACTTTTATTCAGAAAAGAAGAATGAGCAGAAAGACTGCAAGGAGGCCAGTAGACAAGGAGCTATCAGTAAAAACTGGGGCTGGCTGGCTTGCTGAATGGGAAACAAGGGAGGCGACATGCCCCCCAGCCTTTGATCAAAAGAATATTCTGCATCAATGGGTGGGTAATCCCATCTTCCTAAATAATATAAGTTAAACAAGTAGTTTGTGACAAGAGAAGTCTGAAAAAAAATACTAATTTAGACTATTACAACAGAAAAATAATTATGCATTCTATAAAGTTTCAAATTAATTTTATGACAAGGAAATGGACAGAAGGCATTCAGACAAGAATGATTACCTTCAGATTCATGTCTCATTAAATATTATTCTTTAGTAATGCTAGGAATATGGCTGGATAATACTTAATTTTCATCAATAACCTAAGTCAGGTATCGTATTCTAAGGAGAGAACCAATGTGGAATTTTTGATTCAACCTTTGACTTCTACAGAATTTGGATCATAAGAAATGCTAAATAGTTGCATAAAAACCCATCTTTCAAGGATTACTACAACTTCAGCAGATGAAATATTTAAAATAAAAATGTCTAATGTTCCTGTTTTTGTTTTTAAAAGCACTATCCAGCTTCATTACATAAGGTTATTCTGTAACGTATAACCTATAGGATTTGGTAACATATACATATATTCTCCAAAAAGACAAGGATGCTAAAACCTAAGTAATGTCTTACTTTTTAAATGTGTGTTTTGGAAAATTTCTTTTACTGAAATTACTGTCTTTCAACTGAGTTCAGGCAAATAGCATGCTTTAATTTTGCATTTCAATGTGATTTGAAAAATCAAAGCGCATCTATGATTCAAATTACTTAAATGAACCTTAATAATTTTATTTACCATAAAGAATCAACAGATGACAAATCTAATGTAGCTTGAATAAAAAAAAAATCCCCAATCTTCCAAAATCTCAAGTATAAGACTAAATATCTAGGCATATTTTTAAAAATCTCTCTCTGTATTACATACTTCACAAACATTTCACTTTAAATATTTTAAGGGAGTCATATAATAATTAAAATAGGATGCTTAATTTTAGATGGTTGCAATATTATCCTGCAGCTCTATTAATATAGAAGTGTGTTAATCATAATAAAATAGAGTGCAATCATGTAGTACCTAAAGTGAGAGTGGAATATTAATTCTTTAATAATTCTTTTTTTTTCAGCTTCTAAACAGTAACATCCTTTCTGAACAGGTCTGTCCGACCAAGTCTGCATACTGTTGAACGATGGCTTCATCACTTGGTCCTTTCTGTCGTTTTTTATATATGTTGTAAGGCATAACTGTTCTCTTGTAAAGCACCCGTAACTGGTCAAGCTCTTTAATTCGTTCTTCATCAACTGCAATCAAATAAAACAATCCAAAAATTGCATATTAAATTACAATTCTTAGTTTTATTTAATCAAAAAACTGAACTGGAATCTCCAAAGAAAAGACAGTTGGAGTCAAAATTAAGGTATCCTGAAATGATTTTATGGTGGCTTTTGGAAGAGCAGCATAATGAAATATGTTACAAGGTAAACAATTTAATTCAACAAATACTTACATAAAATAATGCTCTAAATGCCTATCAAGTAGCAATTTCCTTCATTACCACATAAACTTAAAGCACCTCTTATTTAGAACATAAGGAACCATGAGCATCATCTAGTCCCATCCTCTTATTTTACAGATGAGGAAACTGAGGCCTAGAGAGGTTAAGTGACTTGTTCAGTGTGGCACAGTAGCAAACAGCAGAGCCAATCACCTTATTCCAAATTTAAGTCGCCCAAGGCAAATTTCAACATTTTACTGAACTGTGGAAGATGACATGGTTTGGAATAATTATGGTCCATTTAAAAAGGAAGTTCAAACACCTTACTAAATACTCAGATGGATTTCATAGATTTGGAAGCTCCCTTTAAAGATGCAGGCTGTAACCCCATTCACACTTGCCCATCTTCTGTGACTCCTGCCCAAATCCCTCCCATAAATTCACCAAAGAAGAACCACTCAACATGCTGGAGGCCTTCCTCTCTTTTTCTTGACATCATATGGATACCAGTAGAGCACTCTGCCTCTACACATAAGCAGCTCATTTTCTTTTCATAATCCTTCCCTCTGTGTGATAATAATTTTAAATTCTTTGGAAACTGCTATATTCTTTGCCATATACTAACACTGACTGAATATGAATGTTGGTATTAAAAAGATTGGCATTTGCTTATATGGGAAGATTGGGGTCATTAAAGGAGTTCTGCAATTTTCTGAAGGCAATCCAGCTTTACTCTCCTCTTGTTCAACTTAAGACGTAATTCACTGTCCATCTGTCATTACTGTTGGACCCAGATATACATACTAATGGGTAAGCTCTTAAATTCATGTTGTAATATAGACAAAAGAGTTCTATAAATTAGTAACTTTTAAAATCTTCAAGTCTCATTTATGAATCTGACTTAAAACTTCTCTGCACACCACCCTACTATATGAAGCACAAACACCTGCAATGAGGTCTTCTGCTGACTCATCATTTTTACAGTACGACAGCCCGCTGAGCTAGAGCGCTCTGAGAATGACATCAAGAAGTAAAATAACATTTCATTAGGCACAGGACCTAAAAATAAAGCAGTTTTCAATGTATATGGATTTATTTTACACATTTTCCCTTAATACATTAGAAAATTCTGTAGAGACTCTATGAAATTCCCAATAGCACTTCAAGTAAAGTAAGCTGGGAATGATTTTCACATTAAAGGTCAAATGGTTTCAGATTTAATGCTCCAAATACCTCTTTAGAATAGATAAATGCAATTATGTGGCATGAATTACCTATAGTAAAATATTAATATTAATATCAAATGTCATTCCCCCAACAGGGCTCTCTACTGTATCCAGGGAATGTCTAGTAATTTTAACATTAATTTAAAAGGTAATAGGGAATGTAATTCTTCTGCTTCAAAAATCAACACATAAAACATTCTAAAGTCAAATATAAATGATCTGGTACATATTTATGCAATTTTATTAGAATTTCTATCATTTCAGGCAGTCAACTCTCTTCGTTAACCTCTTATTTTAGTCTAACAGACAATAAAGATCAAGAGTTACTACTGCTTATGTTGACACTGTGCTTGAACCTTAGAAATTACAAGCAAAAACTTTATTAGCCGCATTCTGAATAAAGCATGATCGAGGCTAAAAGTTACAAAATATGCATAGTACGGTCTTACATTTATGTGTATGAGTATATATATATATATATATGTGTGTGTATATTTACATATATTTATGTATATGCATATATATCCGTATTTAATCTTTACAGTGGGGAGGGGAGAGGAAGGGTAAAAAAAAAATAAGCAAAAAGTACATAGCAGAGAAAAAAGAAAACCTACAAGAAAGCAAAGAAAGGCTGGGTAGGTTGGAAAACAATGTGTAGTATTTATTATATAGGTTTTCTTGAAATGAAAATTTATTGCTTTGTATCGAATCCTCTCTCTTATGTTTTGCTGTGTACATGGCAAAGTTTTTTTTTTCTTTTCTTGTTTTGTATTTAAGTTTAAAATGAATTAAAAATTTACCCCATAAATAAAGCTTAGGGACCCCAGACTAAGAATCTAATCTCTACTCTATATTACCTTGCTTGGTGAGTTCATCAGCTCCCATGGATTTAATCTATGTGGATGATTTGTATAACACTAGTCTCTCTCCTGTTCTCCAGTCCCAGATCACCAATTTCCTTTTAGATATCTCAAACTAGATGTCTCTGAGGCATCTCAAACTCAACATGTCTAAAACAGAACTCACTATATTTTCCCCTAAACCTCCCCCTGCTCTTAATTTTCCTATTACTATCAAGACACCACTATCCTCCCAGTTACTTAGGCTCACAACCTTGCTATTATGCTTGACTGCTCATTCTCATTCAATCTGTTGTCAGGTCTTACCTTGACAACCTCTCTCATGCATCCCCCTATCTTCCTTCACACAGTCACAAACATATTTCAGGCCCTTACAACTTCTCACCTGGACTACTCCAATAGCTTTCTGGCTAGTCTCCCTGCCCTCAAGTCTTTTCTCACTCCAATTCAGCTGCCAAAGTGACTTCACTAAAGTGTAGTTCTGACCAATGCCACTCCCCCATTCAATAAACACTAGTGGCTTCCCACTGTCTCTAAGATCAAATACAAAATCTTCTGTTCAACATTTAAAGCCCTTCACAACCTGGCCACTTCCTTTCAGTCTTCCTACACTTTACTCTCTTCCATGCAGTCTATGATCCAGTTCTACTAGATTACTTGCTGTCCTTCAAAAAATTCCATCTCCCAATTCCATGCCTTGCATTGGCTGTTGAACATACCTGGAATGCTCTCAATTCCGCCTCTTGGATTACCTGGCTTCCTTCAACACTCAGCTCAAATCCCACTTTCTGCAGGAGACCTTTCCTGGTTCTCCTCTAGAACCAGGCACTGCTAGTACCTTCCATTTATTCTGTTTATACCCAGTATGTATAATTATTTGCGTGTTGTCTCCTCCATTAGACTGTGAACTCCCAGAGACTGGTGAGAAAGAAGTGGTACATGTATCTCATTTTATGGATGAGGAAACCAAGACCCAGTCAATTTTAGAGCCAGTATTCAACCTGTCGTCCAGATACCTCAACTTAAATCCAACAAGTTTCATATCAGGTGCCACATTCTCTGTGAAACCTTTCCTGTTCCCTTCCAAGTTTGTCTCCTTCCTTAAGTGACTCTGTATTATATTTATCTCTGCTGACACTGTACCTTCCCAGGAAAATCTAAGCTCCTAGATGGAATGAATTGTTTCTTTTTTGTCTTTATTTCCCATTTCTACTACAAGGCCTTAAACTTTTGCAAGGATATAAATGTATTTAATAATTTTAAAACAAATTTACAAATTTAATAATTTTAATAAATATGCATATCAGGCACTGGTATTTAAAGGAATTTTAGGGTGAATATTTTATATAGTACTTAAAGGTTTTGCAAAGCACTTTAGATATACTATCTAATTTGATCTTCTCAACTATACTATGAGATAGGAACTATAATTATACCTACTTTACAAATGAGGAAACTGAAATAGAGAGAGGTTAAATGATTGGCCCAAGGTCATATAATTCATAAATGTCTAAGGCAGCATTTGAACTCACCTTCCTGACTCCAAGACTATAGGTCCTATCCACCATACCACCTAGAAGCCTCTACTTTTATAAAGCTATTAATGAGAAAATCATGAAGTTATAGGGCTTTTTAAATGGAAAAATATCCACTGTATCACATGATACATAGCCAGGCAGCTAGATACAACAAAATTCCTCCAATTACTATTCTTACATTGTACTAATGTTTCATTTAACACAATATATAAATAGATGAGTTATGAATTAAATTACAAATTTGATCTCTAACATCAAGACCCAAGAGAAGCCTAAAAATGGAAAAAGGGAAAAGAAAACATAAGGGATCCAATGGGGCTAAACTGTTTACATCCCTATGTGGGAGGATGATACTTGTACCACTTGTAGTACAGCTAGAAGGAATATACATAGAGGATACGTGTCTATGGTGAATCTGAGGGAATGACATAAGGAATAATTAAAGAATGAGAAAGAGGAGTACACTTGGTGAAAATGGAAGAGAGAGGAACGGTGTAAAGACAGTAAAGGGAAAGATGGGAGGGTGGGTGATGGGCAATGCTTGAACCTTACATCAGTATTGGCTCAAAGAAGGAATAATATATATAATCAGTTGAATATAGAAATCTATCTTACTGGACAGAGAAACAGGGAGATTAGTAAAGGTAGGGAACTGACACAAAAGGGGGCATTCTGGGGGAAATGGCAAACAGAAGCAAAACACTGTTGAAGAGGGAAGGAGTGAAAGGAGAGAGAGGACAAACAGAAGGAAAAATAGGATGGAGGGAAATACACAGTTAGTAATCACAACTGTGAATATGAATGGGATGAAATCTCCCATTAAAAAGAAATGGAATGGATCAAAAACCAGAATCCTACATTATGTTGTTCAGAAGAAACACACTTAAAGCAGAGAGACACACAGAGTGAAGGTAAGGGGCTGAAAGAGAATCTATTACACTTCAGCTGCAGTTAAAAAAAAAAATAAGCAGGGGTAACAATCCTGATCTCAGACAAAACAAAAGCAAAAAGACACCTAATTAAAAGAGATATGGAAGGAAACTACATCTTGTTAAAAGGTACGACAGACAATGAAGTAATATCAACACTAAACATACATGCACCAAGTGGTAAAGCACCCAAATTTTGAAAGAAGTTAGGTGAATTACAGGTTCATGACCAAACAAGAGATAGAGAGCATTA